TTCCCGCAGAGCATCCATGTGGCAGCCATGATAACGTCCACAGGGCATCCATGTGGCAACCATGATAACGTCCAGACAAACTCCGTCCATTCTCGCAGAGCATCCATGTGGCAGCCATGACAACGCGCAGATCAGACTCCATCCTTCCCACAGAGCATCCATGTGGCAACCATGATAACGTCCAGACAAACTCCGTCCGTCCCCACAGAGCATCCATGTGGCAACCATGATAACGTTCCACAAACTCCGTCCGTTCCCAGAGAGCATCCATGTGGCAGCCATGATAACGTTCCCACAAACTCCGTCCGTTCCCCCAGAGCATCCATGTGGCAACCATGATAACGTCCAGACAAACTCCGTCCGTTCCCACAGAGCATCCATGTGGCAACCATGATAACTTTGCCACAAATTCCGTCCGTCCCCACAGAGCATCCGTGTGGCAACCAGATCAGACTCCATCCATTCCCAGACAGCATCCATGTGGCAGCCATAATAACGTCCACTCAGACCCTCATCCTTTTCGCAGAGCATCTATGTGGCAGCCATGATAACGTTCCCACAAACTCCGTCCGTTCCCACAAAGCATCCATGTAGCAACCATGACAACGTCCAGACAAACTCCGTCCGTTCCCGCAGATCATCCACGTGGCACCCATGATATCGCCCAGATCAGACTCCATCCCTTCCCACACAGCATCCATGTGGCATCATGTGGCAGCCATGATAATTTCCACTCAGACCTCATCCGTTCTCGCAGAGCATCCATGTGGCAGCTATGGTAACGTTCCCGGCCGCAGCTTTGAGTTGTTCGGAACCCACAAAGGAGCAGTCTTTGCTGCTGGGTCTCAGGAAAGACCATCCATTCCTATCACTAGATGCACACCGAACCATCCAAGCAACCCTCGAAATCCTTTCATTCAATGCCTGAAGAGACTTGGAACCGCTCAAATCCTTCTTTCTTGTCCGTCGGCTGCCGTTGCCATGGCCTGATCCCCGGTCTAGGGAAGAGTTACTTGAAGATGTATGATGTCTACTCTATCCCCTTGAGCGTGCGGAGGATGAACCGACAGCGGTACAGCGGCTGTGTTGGCAGCCATGATAACGTCCCCACACATTCCGTCCGTTCCCACAGAGAAGAAACACCTGCACTTTACTGCATTTTCTTGCTTCCAAGATAACCACATCTGTATTCTACCCCACAAAAACCAGGGTTCTCCAATCATGTCCAGGCGTGCCTGGCGCGCAAACGCGATGATGGTGCGTTATAGTTATACTATATACTATCGTATATTACCAATACTATTTTGGGAATCCTTGTTATAGTTAGATTATAATATAATATACACCACTATTTTGGGGTTCCTTCTTATAGTTGTACTATCGTAGAATCGACACCAAAACCCGATTCCATTTTTTGGCTCCTATCTTTGCCCGGTCCGAAGTCCAAGCATCCTGCAGCCGAAACCTTAAGTCGTATGCATGCTCGATTTGGGTTTAGAGTTTAAGGTTTAGAGTTTTGGGTTTAGCGCTTAGGGTTTACTAGTTAGGGTTTAGGGTTTAGGCTTAGGGTTTACGGATGAAACGCCGCAGACAGCCCTTCTCGAAGCGTTTAGGAGCCTGGGCCCCCAAAGCGTGGCACCCGTATCTGGCTTTCCGGCGGCCAAGAAGTGTGATCTCCTACGTTAGTATAAGGGCGTTAATAATTAGAATAGGGTTTTGGGGTATACTAGACTATAATTTCAATAAGGAAACCCCTATTCTAATTCTTAAGGCCCCTACAGTAGTGGGCTTTAGGCTCCAATATAGGGGCCTAAATAATTACCTATACAATTTTGGGGGCTCCTTACTACAACTATAGTATAATATACACCAGAACCCTATTCTATATAATACTTAAGACCCCTGCATTGCTTCAAATATGGGGTCCTGAAGGTTTCCCATCGTACTATAATATACGCCAAAGTCCTTCTGCCACGACTAGCCTTACGAAGAAGAAACTACAGAAAGGTATGGAAAGGCAGAGATCCGACCGAATTTGGCGACAGCAAAGCCCATGCTAACCCTAAGCCCTAGACCCGCTATGTACATAATATCATATACACCACTATTCTGGGGTTCCTGGCTATAGTTATACTAGCACAGCGCATGCTAACCCTAAACCCTCGACCCTAAACCGTCTAAGTATTAAGGCTCCTATATGAGACCACGGCTTTGGGCCTCTGGCCGAGCTCTGGTTTAGGGCATAGAGTCGTCTCAGGATCCTGCCATCCTTTGTGCTTTGGGTCTAGATTTCAGGTTTAGTTTTTCAGGTTTGGGGTTTCAGGTTTAGGGTTTAGGGTTCTATGCCTATTTGTGTAAGTCTAAGGCCAATGTTTTGCTTATTAGCTGTGGTGACTGTGTTCCCTGTTAGTGTGATGGGGTTCTCCAAAGCCGAAGCCCTAGATCCCCAAGCCCAAAACCCCGAAGCCCCAAGCCACAAAACCCATAACCCTGAAACCCTAAACCCAAAACCCTAAAACCCAAAGCCCGCAAACCCCTAAACCCAGTTCAGGGCTCCTCTTCCTGCTGGGCCTGTCTTGGCAGGTCGGACAAACAATGGCTCTTGCTGCTTTGCTCAACTGTCGCATAATCTCATAGTCTTCTAGTCTAGTCTGGTATTGTCTCGTGTTGTATGGCATGGTAGAGCATAGTGCAGGATAGTAGAATGTGGAACATAGTTTAACATAGCTGAACATGGTATATCATACCGTAGTTGATTATAGCTTCGAATATAGTCGAAATCTTAATTTGGAGTATAGCACAGTATATTGCAGCACAATATAAGTGTATATAAATATAGTATAGTATAGTAGCATACAGAATGTGTAACAGCGTATAGCACAGTATATCATAGCATAACATGTCGTAAAATATAGTCTGAAGTTTTACAAGGTAGCATAATAAAGTATAACATAGTATGGTTAGTTTAACTTCTTCTGTTATAGTGTAATATGGGAGAATAGAGTAGAACATAATAAGATACAGTATGTACTAGTATAATACAGTATAAGATAGTAGATTAGAGTAAAAGATAGTTATCATATAGTGCAAACATAGTAGAACATATTACATTTTAGTATGACTTAGCATAACATAGTTCAATATAGTATAATATAGTACACTATTGTACAAGATAGTACAGTAGAGTATAAAACACTATGATATACAACCGCTAGTATAATGCAGTACAAATTACCTTCCTGTATAATGTGATGCGCTGGGTCTGTTGGGGGAAGGGTTAAGATAGTTTAGATAGTTTGAGGGCGTGGTTTAGATAGTTTAGATAGTTCGGGGCTTGGTTTAGATAGTTTGGATAGTTTGGGGGCTTGGTTTAGATAGTTTAGATATTTCGGAGGCTGGGTTTAGAGTTTGGGTAGTTTGGGGGCAGGGTCAGGTACTCTATCTTGTTCATGAGTCTGCAGTGCCCCTGCTGAGGTGCTGCTGCTGTGGCCACGAGGAATCTCTGATGTCTTCTCGCTGGGCAGTTTGCTATATGTGCCCTTCCTGGGTTTGCAAATTCCATGCAAGGGAGACGCCTGGTGACTTGTGCCCGTCTTGCAAAAATCTTCCATGAAACCACTTCATTGGCGGGTCTTCCAGCAAGCAGATATGCGTGGACTGCTTCGCATTGGATGTTACGGCAGCTCAAAGAAAGTGGCTAAGAGGTTAGCAGTGAGCAAGCGAAAGGCAAGTCAACTGGCTCTGCTGGACGGCTTCATGTCCAGACTTCGACATCCAGGCTCGTTGACTTTTGCGACTTCACCAATCGATTTCAACACAGAGACTGCACCGAATGCCGATGTACCGAAGTTCGTGCGCGCACACCCCAGGGATGTCAGAATTCGTTCTCAGGCATCATCACACCTACTTTACGATGGTGTACAGACGATCGGGTTTGTCACTGGCATGATGCATGCTTCCTGTCAACTGTTTGACCCCGACGTGACCATCGCCAAGATGATGAACGGCAGTAACTGGCCTCGGGCCGGAATGAGTCGGCTTGGCGTTCTTTGTCCGGAAATTCTGGGCATGTATTCTGGCAACCCAAGGGATGACAAGCGAGTCAGCAAACTTCTACGGGACCTTTCTTCGGGTCAAGACATCGCAGATGAGATTGAGCAACTTGCATGATCTTGCGATGAAGTCCAGGAGATGTGGGCAGCCAGTGGCCGAGAGGCAACGCACTATGGCACACATGCATTCTCTTTTCGAAGCTCCCTCAATGGCCGCTCTGTGCCTACCGTTTCTCCAGAGGCTCGGATGCCGCAATCCTTCCTGCATGACATAGCATCAAATTCAACAGCTTGGCGGACTGAGTGGACTATCTTCGGCGACGTCTGGAAGTATTATGCTGGTCGACTGGAAACGTACCTCTGGCTTGCCCGGCAAGTACCAATCATACCAGGCCATGCGTCCACCGGTCTCTCACATCGCGGACTGTGCAGGTATGCACTACAGATTGCAGTTGAACGTTTATCGACATATATTCGAGAAGTATTGCAATCTTAGAGTTGCGCACGTGCTGGTGGCTTGCTGTCATCCGAAACACTATCCGCAGGCCTTTGTGGACGATGTCCCCAGACTTGGTAGAGAAACCGAGGACCTGCTGCAGGCGTGGTGTGACGTTAGCGGAGGTAGTGATGCGCAGCTTCCAAACATGTGTTCGAGAACGGTGGAGACGACGAGGACGAGGCCATTGTGACGAGGTTCCAGCGAGTTTCGGTGGAGCCGGAAAAATCGAGGCTCTGGCGAAGGCTATACGGGAATATCTGTTCTTTGACAGAGTGGGGCTAGCACTGTGTCCCACAGAATATTCTTGGAATCACTGCCTTACCTCGTCTGTAGACTTTGTTCTCAGCGCCCATTTCTTCGCCACACAACGACCGTCATTGGCAGTTCTGGCTGAGTTCCGCGGTGCAGCACTGTCACACAGCAAGCCGGGTGATGCCACGTGACCTTGTCTTAGGGCAAAAGAGGCTGTGCCACCACTGATATGGACCGCTGCTCAAAACGGCTCTTCGCCCAAATCGCTCTCCTGCTGGAGTTGATCCCGCCAGCAGACGTTGTGGATTTCTCTCTTGGGCTGTCTCCTTTTGATACTAGCATCAGAAAGAGATGCTGGGAGAGATGGTGTCGTGACGTGCGGAGTGCTATCAGGGTTGTGAACGGAGAAGGTGGCGTGGTGAATAACAGCGGTAGACCTTTTCATGTCTCTCTCGGAACTGTCTCAGCAATCGGTGCGTGGATGTTGACGGGGAATCTATTTCCGGGTCGAACATGAAAGATCGCCAAGAGCACCGTCTTAGAGTTGTTGCCAGTATGACCTATCAAAACGTGGATCTCTTTCAAGATTATCCCGGCGCCATTTATCTAATTCCGGACCCTGACAGTGTTGCCTATCGCAGAAAGAGACATTGGAATAGGCAATGTTCGAAGCCAGGAAACTGATCAGACTTCTCAAGACAGAATACCGTCACAAAACGTGCATTCTCTACATGTACGTCCACACATTACTGCGAAGAAGGAAAGCAGCGCGGGCAGTCCTGGTCCCTGGTTTCCGACGTGGAGCATCCTTCAAAAACAGAGCAACCCACCGAGAGTGGACGCACGGCCTCATCGCTTTTCTCATCGCGTACGTCTTCCTGATCGGACGACATGGCATTCAGGATATAATAAAGAAGTTTTTGCGCGAGGATGTGTGCGGAGATGTTTCTTCTAAGCCGCAAGCGGCTGAAGAAGCGGGTGAGTTGCGTGTTGTCTCATCCGTCGAGGCCCCGGGCTATACAGGGAGCTTGCAGCCAGAACTTCTGGCACTCCTGCCCTTTCTTCTTTTCGCTTGATTACCTGGAAAGCATGGCTGCTCCAGAGCGATGCTTGCTGCGGCACAGGACACAGGCAACTGGCAAGGTGTGGACTTGCACTTAAGTGGTCCCGGAGTTCCGCAGCACAGTTGTGGAAGGAGGCAAGGACATTGTCGTTCGACCTTGTGCAGCTCTCCAGCCTGCAAGATTATCCAAATACAAGCAGGCTCCTTCGGCGACCTCAAGCAATTTTGATGTCGAGCAATGAACGGCCGCCCGTCAAACCACAGCAATGTATATTTTGGGTTTTTGCATATTTGAGTATGTTTCGCACACAACAGTACTTACCGAAAAAAGTGGTCTCACACATCAGGTGATGTGGTTTTTTGACTTGATGAACTCTTCTACAAGCCCACACCGAAGGGTGATATGGAACTGACCGCAGAAGATATCTTCTCATACTGGCTCGATTAACCGGCTCTCGGGTCAAAGCGGTGATCGTGTGCAGGTATTCTCTGCGTGCATCATGAGTATCAGGCATGAGTGCACTGCAGCAGCTGCTGTGCAAACCTGTTGGGCTCAATGTTTTGCTGGCGTTTAGTTGGTCACCTCGTGCTGTCTGCTCTGGTACCACACATCGAAGAGAGTGAAAGGACACAGGGCAGAAGTGTGTGCCATGGCGACTGTTGGATCAGCAACATGGCTCTATCTTACCAGCCATCCTCGAAGGGGTTTCGCAGGCAAGTTTGTCTTCAGCTCATATCTGTAAGCATGTATTCTTCGTAATAGAATACAGAAACACCACACAAGCGGTAGGCGCATGGGGGGGTAACATATATGGTACCATATACACAGACGTATAGGCAGAATATGCATTTAGCATATCAGCTCAGCTGTCCTGGCCTCCCTGCAGGCTTAGGACGCCTGCTTGAGGGCTTGTGGATTGTAGGGCTTCGGGTTTAGACTTCCGGCTTGAAGCTCAGTGACCCAGGGTTAGCGTTTAGGGTTTTGGGGGTAAAGGGTTACAATGTCGATAACGCTGAGGCGGGCCCTGATATCCCGATGCGTTGAGAATGTTTTCGTCCTAAACAGCTTCGATGCTAGGGCCATAGACTTGCAACCCCAAGCGCCAGGCCCTTACTCTTGAGCCCTGAACCGTGAGCCCTAAACCCTAAAGCCCAAAACCTAAACCGGTTCCCCACGGGTGAAATAATTGCCGCAAGAGGTTACCATCATGTTGGGCGAGCTTCTCACACTGCATCTTCGCAGCACAGTCTAGGCCCGCACGGTCGCAGGTGCTGGGTCGGTTGGCATGGTAATGCATTCTGGGTTTCGGGTGTATGGTTCAAGGTTTAAGGTTTCGGGTTTAGGGTTTCGGGTTTAAGGTTCAGGGCTTAGGGTCTAGGGCTTAAGTTCTTGAAAATGCTGCTGTAGAGCGTCCGGGGAAGGGTTTTGGTTTCTTCGTCGGTCACTGCTTTGCTTGACCTTAAGGGGTTCAGGGTTAAGGAGCTTAGGGGTTTAGGGGTTTAGGGTTTAGGCTTTAGTGCATTCCTGCTGCTTTGTCGTTTGAGCTAGTTAGGATTGAGATTCATAGAAGTTGCTGCTCGTGGGACTGTCTTTATCAGTCGCTTTGGAACCTTTCAGTACAAAAAAACTGAGCCTTCCATAATGTTTGATGAGTTTGGGCCCCCTAAACCCTGGACCTTAAACATCGCACCTGCAGCCCAGAACCTAGATTCCCACAATCCCGGAACACTAAACCCAGAGACACTGAACCCGGAAACCCTAAACCCCTAAATCCTAAACCCAGACACCCTCAACACCTAAACCCAGTTAAACCAGTAGCCCTAAACCCAGAAACCCCAAACCGAAAACAAAGAGCCGTCTCCGAGGATGAGCTTCCGGACTGACGGCTTCTTTCTCTTCGCCCTCTTCCGAAATCCCTGGTACAACGCGCCTGGCTGGACTCAACTTCGGGATGTCGGGTTTAGGGGTTTAGGGGCTTTAGGGGTTTAGGGTCGAGGGCTTATCCAGTCTTGGGTTACGAGGTTACCGGGGCCTTGCCAGAGAGGCTCATACCGACAATGCTTAGTTCAGGGCTAGGGGGTGTTGAGGGCTTGATAAAGCAGCCTGGCTGATCAATTGCCCATATATTCCCTCAGGGTTTGCTTATGCTTTATTTCCCGATCCTCTTTTGAATAGGGTTTAGGGTTTAGGGTTGAGCCTATTTTGGGTAGAGTGGTCCAGAAGGGTTCAGCAAGTTGAGCTGAGCAGTTTCATCGAGGCCCTCTTCATCCTGAATGTCTCTGTGATGCTCACGTTTGTGTACAGGACTGGGCAAGGGCTTTATTGGGATCTGTCGAACCCTAAAACCCTAAACCCTAAACCCTAAACCACACCCTGAAGCCTGATCCCTAGACCCTGCTTCCAGAATCCCAGACTCTGAATCCTGAAGCCCACTGAACCCTATAGTGAATCCCAGAAAGCCGGATTTATAGCCTTTAGGGTTTAAAGGTTTAGGGGTTTAGGGTAGGGGTTCGGGTTTAGAAGTTTCGGGTTTAGGATGTAGGATGATTCGTGCCGGGATGCCATACCTTAAGGGTATGAAGGGAGTGATGTTCCAACTTTTCTGGCTTCTGCCATTGTCGCTGAACTTTGAACCCTGAACTGAAAAGAGCCCTAAGCGACTGAGCCGATCCAGCCGCATGGGATGAAATCGAACTAGGTTTTTTGGGGCTTAGGGTTTAGGGTTGTTTAAAGTTGATTCAAGACAGTACAGTTTTAGTTTTAAGCTGATTCAAGGCCTTTGGGTTTTTCGAGGCTGCAGGGTTTGAGTTTTCAACTTGTTTCGAGGCCTTCAGGGTTTTGGATTTCAGAATCGGAAGCAATGGCGTTGCCACTGTCACAGTACATGACTGTACTTACAATGACAATATAACGAGTGCCATGGTTGCATCAAGAGCAATGAAAGAAGGTAGCAGCAAAAGTAGTAAAGCAGGAGAGCGCAGTGCTGCCCGAAGCATGTCCCTAACCATCGTGAACCCTAAACTCTGAACCCTACGTTTGCCTGTCACCGACTACTCTCGGAGTTTTGCAGTCCTGCAGTTACTTCTGTTGGGTTCGTTCCCCTTTGCAGTGTCTAGACCTCTAGAGGCTTTGGTTTTTGGGTCTGACGGTTAAGGGTTAAGGGCCCGTAAGGCTAGTGTAGAAAACCCAGGGAATCACATTCCTTAGTCTTTACTCCCGTGTAGTTTGGGCTGCCCCGTATTGAGCCGTCGCTTGCGAGCCCAAAGAAACGCAAGTCTCTGCTCGAAGCTGCTTGGGCAGAAGTGTCGGGACAGCACAACCTCCAGGGCCAAGAAGGGCACGGAGGTGGAGGCCCACGTAAGGCGCGGTCTCTTGGACATCTTTCGTAGCTCTACCGCCACGGAGACAGATGCTAGTTGAGGGCGTGACGCTCCGGCAAGGGTTGCGCAAGGACAAGGAAACGAAGCTGGAGAAGGGTTCAGCAGCGGTTTGTGTCGGGCACCGCTACTATGACACCCTGCGCGACATGTACGCAGGGAAGGAGCGACCCTAAGCAAGATGACCCGCTACAGCCCCACAGTTCTTTGTAGGCTCCGAAATAGGCCCAAAAGCACTCGCCACCCAAAAGCCGCAACCCCATCCCGAAACCCCAAAGTCCACACCGCAGGCCCTAAGCCCTAAGCCCTAAACCGTACGCTTTTGACCCTATAGCGCCGCTGATTGGCACCCTCAGCCAAACTTCTGGAACCTTTGTAGAACTCTTCTACCCTAAGCCTTCTGGCCGAACACACACCCTTAACCTCTGACTAAATCCCGAATATGAGAGCCTAGTCCTATACTAAGCCCCTGTAACCTAAACCCTGAACCCTCAATTTGAGACCCTGAGGCCTATACCCTAAACGGCCCCTACACCCTGCACCCTACCAACAAAGGCACCTAACCTGAAAGCCCGGCTTTGCAACGGATCGCCCTGAACCCTTACAGAAAACCTTATTCTAAGGTTGGGGGTTTAGGGTTTAGGAATTAGGGTTTAGGGTTTAGGGTTTACAGAACCCCTTCCGAGAAGGTTTAGGGTTTAGGTAGGGTAGAACCCCTGTAGTTTCCCTAAACCTTGTTCTAAGGTAGAACCCCTAACATGGGCCCTTACAGGATTCTAGGGCCCCTTAAGGGTATATATAGGGTATATAGTAGGTATATTAGGGTCCCAGGGTTAAGGGCCCATACTAGGGGCCCATGGGTTCTACCTTAGACTTTTGAGGCCGGCGTTTTCGGACGAGCTGGAGCTGGTGCCCCTCAGCACCGGGCACTTGAGCTCTCCGGCACGTCTGAAGGGTCAGTATAGAGGCCCAAATAGTTACTGATATTATTCTGGGGTTTCTTATTGTAATTATAGTATAGTAAACCCTATTCTAATTATTAAGGCTCCTATATTCGGGTTTCAAGGGTTTGAGGTTGAGGGATTACCTACTTCAGGTTAAGGGTTTAGGGTTCAGGGGTCTGGGGCTTAAGGTTTGGGGTTGGGTGTCTAAGGTTCAGGGTTTGTGAAGCTTTTCCCCCGACCCCTGAAGCCCTAGACCACGTGAACCCCGAAAAATCCCCACAGCAAGCCGAGCTGTTTCAGGTTTAGTTCAGTCAGTGGTGCTTAAGTGGATGCATCCGGTGCAGCTTGCTGGTGTTCGACGATTTCAGGTTGAGTGGTCGGGGTGTCAGCAGTTATTCTTAGATAGCAGCATCCGATGTTTGTAGGTCCGTGATAAACTGTGTCCACAAGGATTTTGCATTTTTTTTTCAGTCTCTCTCTCTCTCTCTCTCGCTCGCTGTGCCTGCATCCTTGTACACAGGAGTATACATAGTATGATCCGAGCTGTGACATGGCCGTAAGCAAGTAAACAAACAAGGCAACAAGTATGCAAGTAAGTATGCCTCATGTAATTTATGTCTGTCTGTCAGCCTTTCTGCCTGCCTGCCTGCCTGCTGATATATATATATATATATATGCATCTATCTCTATGGATCATGAAGTCGCAGGTTCATGTATTCAGACTAGCAGTGGGGGGCCTTGAATAATTTCAATAGGGTTTTGGGGCTTATTATAGTCTAATCATAAGAACGACCCCCCCTCCAAAAAAAAAACCTATTCTATTTACGAAGGCCCCTGTACTAAACCCTTGTAGTAGCCCTTTAAAGAACCCTTTTAAAGAAGCCCTATTCCAATTCTTAAGGCCCCTACATTAGCAGTGGGGGGCTGCTTCTTTCATCTTCACCGAAGCCGTAAGTCGATACCCTGGGCTCTGAAGCACTGATCCCTGAGCCCGGAGCCTCCAACCATCCACCGTTTAGGGTTTAGGGTTTAGGGCTTAATATGGGGGGCCTTAATAATTACCTATATTACTTTTGGGGGGTCCTTATTACGACTCTAGTATAAGATACCCCCGAAAACCCTCTTCTAATGATTTAGGCCCCTATGTTGGCCATAGTTCAGCTCATAATCTACCCGAAACCCTGGATTTCTCTGAAGTTAAGGGGTTGGAGCTGTAGAGCTTCGGGGCTTCTGGGCGGTAGTAGGGGTTGAGGGCTTTCGGGATCTAGGGTCCCTAAACCCTAAACCCTAAACCCTAAACCCTAAACCCTAAACCCCGACTCAAGATCGTGCAGTGAGATGTACTCTTGTCTTCGTCCGGGGCGGATACGGGGGCCTCGGGGGGATTTGACACCTGGGGCCCCTATTCTGTTTCGGGTTGGGGGTTTAGGGTTTAGGGTTTAGGGTTTAGGGTTTAGGGTTTAGGGTTTAGGGTTTAGGGTTTAGGGTTCATAAGCTTGCATGGCTTATGACTGTATCAACTTTGCATGCGCTGCACACAGAGGCCAGGAGATGTCGGAGATGAGAGTAAGGTTGATCGTCAAAAGTTGACCGTTTAGGGTTTAGTTAGGGTTTAGGGTTTAGGGCATCAACAGGTGTCCTGCACCACAAGCTCTTTTCCAACCGGTAAGCAACAGTTGGCAACAGATGAAGGAGGGAAACCACTGAAGCCTCAGCCGCGGTCCATAGCCCCTCCTAAAAGCCTCCGCGCTTGATTGCAAAACCGCGAGACAGGAGCATAGCCGATATAAATACTACAATACACTATTATACTGGTACCATACTATGCTGTACTGTACAGTACTATACCATACTATACTATAACATAGCATAACATAATGTAAACAATACAGTTGCTGCGTGTCCAAAGCAGAATCTGATCCAAGGTGCTGCATTGGGCTTCGCTGGGTCGCTCGTGGTCGCTTGGCTCGAGATAGCTCGAGATATCTTCGACTGTAGGGCTTTCGGTTTAGGGTTTCGGGTTTAAGGTTTAGGGTTTGGAGTTTAGGGTGGGCCCCCAGGCTTCAAATTGAAAGGGTTCTTTCAAAACCCCAACCTCCAAAACCCAAAGCTTTCAAGCCCCAGACCCTCACCATTCTGAGGATTCGTCTTATTTGGTCGGTTTGGTTTGGGGCCGAACTAGCAAGGGTTTTAAGGGCTTTCGGATTTCGGGTAATAATATAGGAGCCTGAATAATTCCCAATACTATTTTGGGGGCTCCTTATTATATTTATTTATATTTTAAAGGAGCCCGAAACCCCATTCTGATTATTATAAGGCCCCTATATTATGGGGACCTGAGTGATTTCAAGGGTACTGCCACTGCTCCTTTGGGCTCCCTAATCTGCTGAAACTACAACACCCCCCCAAACCTTGTTCTCATTTTGAGCACCTCTAGATCATAGAACATTTCTAGTAACCCTTCCCCAAAGTCTAGGCCGCGAGCGCGACTTACGATCCATCAGAGAGCCGTTTAAGCACATCACGGCAGAGGGTGAAGCCTCTGCAGCCTCTCATCTTCGACAATCGCCCAATGACGACTCCCTATAGTGAAGGACGCGAAAACTTCAACCCCAAGCCCTTTGTGACCCAGAATCCAAAAGCAACAAAGCCAAAACCCAAAATCCAAAACCCAAGGTCCTAAATCCTGAATCCTAAGTGGCAGACAGCAACCGGAAATCCAGAAAATCCCGGAAGCCTTGGAAATGGCCTTCGGCAAAGGAGCGGGCAGTGCAAAATCGACCTTTTTCAAGCTTTTGTGGGCTTCGCCCGCCCATTCAAAGGCTTAGTGCAAATTCGATCACTTCAACTGTTTGAATATCCAAGGAGCCTTGGAAGCCGAACGTTTGCTAATTTTTTTGAGGTTTAACTCCTCCAGACCACTACCGGCACCGGGAGCCCCAGGCCGAAAGCTTGATACCTCAACACTAAAATTCTCGAGACCTTTGCAGGCACCGGCAGCCCCAGGCCGAAAGCTTGCTACTTCGACAGTTTAAGACCGCACGACCACTGCCGGCAGCAGGAGCCCCAAGCCAAAACCTTGATATTTCGACGTTTGCAGCTTCGAGACCACTACCGGCAGCAGGAGCTCCAGGCCAAAACCTTGATATTTCGACGTTTGCAGCTTCGAGACCACTACCGGCAGCAGGAGCTCCAGGCCAAAAGCGAAGTTTAAAGCTCCGAGACCACTGTTGGCAGCGGGTGGCTGGCCCAGGCCGACAGCTTGCTGCTTCGACGTTTAAATCCTCCAGACCACTACCGGCAGCGGGAGCCCCAGGCCGAAAGCTTGAAGCCTTGACTGTTAAATCCTCGAGACCATTGCAGGCACCTGCAGCCCCAGAGGTCGTGCGCGAAATTTATGCCATCGTGCAAAAAGTTCATAGGGATTTTCCACGGCGGTTGATAGCACGGTGTTTCCAGATCTCCTCCTCCTTCTATACACAACCTACTAAATTTTAAATATTTTCTATCAAACACCTGCGCGCAAGTTAAATTGCATCCTTCGGCTACAATTTAACTTCCGCGCGAAAAAGAGCCGCTTCGAATCTCAGCATCTAGACCGTATTGCTCGTGGTTTTGTTTCGTGTATTTGTGTGATTCAGAAAATGAGAAAATATGAAATTGAATACACAACGAACCTCGGGTGGGTCGGGCGGGCAGCAAGCAGCCGCGCGTCAGGCTTGGCACGCCCTAAACCCAAAACCCTAAAACCCTGAACCCTAAACCCTAAAGCCCTAAAACACCATACAAACTTTAAGGCAGCCTGAGACTTGCGTCTTCGGGGGCTTCGGGGCTGTGTGAGTTGAGGGTTAGTTCGTCTTAGCCTTTAAACCCGAAACCCAGAATGGTTTATGGTTTAGGGTTTTAGGGCTTTGCGGCTTCCGGGGTTTAGGGTTTAGGGGTTAAGAAGTTAAGGGGATTTGGGTTTAGGGATGTTCATTTCTTGGCCCGGCAACTAAAGATGTGGGCCATTGGGTCTGCGGCCGACGACCCCTAAACCCTAACGGCATTTCGATGTTCGTGAGAAGCAAAGGAGAACCGTCACGATGACACCACGGCTTCCCCCCAGCTCCCCTCGACGATGACGCCCGGAACCCCCGTTCAAGACCCCGGACCCTCAGTTGGGTTTTTTAACTTAATCTGACTGTTTTGTGATATTGGGAATTAGAGTCTCGGGAAGAGGGAGCGGTTGTAGATGGTTTACTTCGTGCCGAGTGTTTCTATAACGATGTAAGATGTATCTGGGGCTTAGAAGTGTGGATTTGCGACTCAGGGGTTGCGTTTCCTTCGTGGTTTTTCACGTGCAATCTTTCAGGGTTGCCCTAATCCCTAAAGGCCCGAAACCCTAAGACATAAACCCTGGGTTGTATTTTGTATTGTGCAGGCTTTGCTTAGGGTTTGCAGTACGATCCATGTTTTGGGCCGAGGATTGTGGGTTGGTCGATCTGGGGTTCAATCTAGAGAACATTCAGGGGTCGAAGTTTGGTGTTGAGGCCTTCATATGTATGACATTTATGGGAAACTCTAGACATAACGCTGGCCCTGAAGGCGTCCAAAGACCGCTGAGATATTTTCCGTTTTGGCGGCCATGCTTACGGTCACTAACACAGTGGTTTGACGCTAGCCCAAAGCCGCGTAAACCCGAGCACCCTAAACGCGATACCCTAAACCCTAAACCCTGGGCCTCCCTGGCAGCCAAGGTCTTGAATGAAGTTACCAAATTCTTGCATCGTGTCCGCAAAGCAAGATCATCTCGAGAAGTTGGAATGCAATTGTTTTCCATTATCTAAAGTAATGGAGAGTTTAGTATTCTAACAATGACACGGATGGTAGGTGGTTGATACTTTTCGGATCCCAACCACCCACCGGGCTATGAGCTGGACTGGGCGATGCTCTACTTTGGTTCAGTATAATTTAGTATTGCTAGAAGAGATCGTGTCCAGAGTGAGCCTTGATTCCTTCAGCAAGCCTATATCTATACTTATATCTCCACATCCTATATCTACATGCCTATATACCTATATATCTGTATATCTATATACCCTATATATATATATATACATATCTATGTATTTGTATATCTATATGCTTATATATCTACAAACCTATATATCTATATCGGTCTCTGTCTTTATGTCTATACGTATCCATACACTACATATCTCTCTCTTTCTCTATATATATATATATATATGCATTTGTATCGTTTTTCCACCGGGTATAGCATGGCATTGAATCACGCTTGAGGCTTAGACTTTAGGTGCAAAGTCCTCGCCATGTTGCATACCCCAGCACGGCAACAGTTCGATACCTGCATCTACCCCGATAAACCCACCGAAACCATGGGAAAAGGCATCAGGGGCCCTAAACCCAGATTTCGAAACCCTTGAACCCGGCCCCCAAGCCCTGACCCTTCAAGGCCCAAAGACCCGAATTTCGAAACTTCGCCTCAGCTATCGGTGGCACCTATCTGCTGTGAACGAAGCGCTGGAGCGGGAGGCCGGGGTCCGAAATGAGATTGCTAAAACGAGCCAGAAAGCTGGAAACCCACCAGCCTCAATCTTTAAGAGTATCGTAAGAGGAGTCCCAGCGCTGATTGGCCTCAATCCGGTTTCCCAATTTTCGTGTTTACTATAAGCTATAATATGGGTTGTTCTCTGAATTAGGGTCCCGTTTTAGGTTCCCAATATAGTACGGAACCCTTAATAGAAGGGACCCCCAAAAGGTACCCTAATTTAGAGAACCACCCATATTGCACCCCTAATCCCTAAACCCTAAATCCTGAATCCTAAACCCCAGACCCGAAACCCTGAACCCGTTAGCGTGCGGACGAAAAGGGCCCTAAACAAAGAAAAAACCCTGAACCCGACAACCTCCGACCGCAACATCTTCCCCTGAGCGCGGGTGCAGGCGCTGGCCCAAGCCAAGGGTTTGGCTGGGCAGGCACTTGGGGGTTTATTTTAAGGGATCTACAAGGGTTCCTATAAAGGAGCTACAAGGGCTCCTTTTTAAGCTTCCTTACAAGGGATCTATAATGTACTTTTCTTCAGGCTTGAGAGTTTTGGAATCTAGCGCTTCGGGCATAGGGTTTAGGGTTTTGGGATCGAGTGCTTGGGGCCTCAGGGTTTAGGGTGTTGGGATTGAGTGTTTAGGGCTTCGGGCTTAGTGTTTAGGGTTCAGGATTAGGCGTTTAGGTTTGAGTCGGTTTGAGTGTTTAGGGTTTAGGGTAAAGTTCAGGTTTAGGGTCCCGGCAGAAAGCCGGGGAAATATGTAGATGTGCGTGTATATGTAAACAAACATATATATATATATATGTATACACATACGTATGCATGTGATATGGCTGGTCGTGACAGCTTCGAGAGGTTCAGTCTCACGGGGGACTCCTTTCTTCTAGAAGGTTCGCTTGGACGGTTAAGGTTTTAGTCTTCAGAAGCTCTTTGGTTCTTTCATGGTCATCACATTGATGCATTTGTGGTGGAAGTCTCAGTATAGCAGCTTGACTCAGACTACATCGCACGCACCTTATGCCTGCTCTATAGGAGTGGGAACCATTTTGTGGGTCTACAGGGCACCCTAAATCCAAGAGTTGAAGGTTTGTTGCGGGCTTCCGCGATTTACAGTAGGGTCTTTGAAGCCCTAAACCCTAAACCCTAAACCCTAAACCCTACACCGTGGGGTTTCGGATTCAGGATTTAGGGCAATGCAGCGGTGGCTTCCAGGAAGATGAGCTCAAGGGTGATCCCGAACCGTGAGACGCCGCACAGATCAAACAGGCTTATGGTTTAGGGTTTAGGGTTTAGGGTTTAGGGTTTAGGGCTCATGGTTTAGTTTGTTTTCGTCTTCAGGTTCTCAATGTTTAGGGCTTGGGGTTTCAGTTTGGGACTGAGTGGACCACGGCAGAAAGCATGAAATTAGAAGTCGTGCCCCCGCACCCAAGAAACCTACACTGCACTCCAACTGCCAGCTAAACTCTTGCAGTTCAGACCCTACAGCCTCAACTCTTCACACTGTTCACACGGAGCTAAGAACCATAGCGGCTGGGACTTTGTGAATGAGCCTGTGGCGAGCTTGTTGTTGGTCTTGTTGTTGGTGGGCGTTGGCGGGATGTTGGGATTAGGATTTTGCGACAGACGATCACATAAAGCACCCGAAAATATCTGTGATTAATCCCAAAACCCTAAAACCCAAAGGCCCTAAAGCCCAAACATCCGAAAACCCTAGGCTAAGACACGGTCGCCAAAGTCTCTGACTTGTCCTTCGTGGGAAGCCTAGGTGCAGCTGCAGCATCCTCCGGCCTTACGCAGCCTGTGGCAGAAAAGCTGTTCCATGAAATTAGCCGGTTCGTGCCTGCGCGCTAGGGCTCCACTTACCTAGATAATGGGTTGCTGGGTTAATTTTTTTTTATATGGTGAGTAAATAACTTACTATTCAAACAGCTGGGGCCCTATAGGCAGTGGTTTTCAAACGTTAGCAGCAAAACCAGCAACCCCTAAAAGCTCAAACCCACGACAAGGGAAAGTTCCAACAACCTTGAAACCCTGAGCCCCATGTACAGCAATTGCCCTCATAACGCCTACAGCCTCAACCCTAAACCCTAAACCGTAACCCTAAACCCTAAACCTTAAGACCGTAAACCGTAAACGGTAAACCTGCAAACCCCCCAAAGCCCCGAAGACCCGAATCCCAAACCCCTCGAGTTC